CACGGGGTCGCTCTGTGACTGGTACAGGGGGTCGCACTGACAACCCCCACTTCTCCTAACGCCACTTCTTCAAAATAGACTCGCCCAGGCTGAAAACCGACTTCTGCGCATGGGCCACGAAGTTTCAATCGCACGGTATGTGTGTGCCCGCACGTGGTATTTTGTGGAAGAGCCACACTCAAGAGGCCGAAGAGCCACATGTGTCTCACGAGCCACAGTTTGGCGACCACTGGTCTAAGAGAAAAGGCTGGTGTCTCCTCCAGTAGCCACGTGGGCCACAGGCCGTGCCACAGGCTGTGCCACAGGCCGTGCCAGTGCAGCTCCCAGGGCCGCCGGAGGGGAGGGGCGGGCGTGCGAGACTGTTTCCCCTTCCTTGTGGCCGATCCCTAATTGGCTGTTGTGATGTCATCGTAACATGTGTTTTCCTGCGCACACATGTCCCTCCAGGCACTCAGATCATCGATCATGTGGTGGCGAAAAACCCCCATCCCCGTGACTGTGGTTGGTGGAAATGGTCGATTGAATGACTGAATGTTCTGGGTCATTTAACACTGAGTTCCTCTCTCCCAGGAAACACGTGGGAGACAATTAAACACAGCAGCAAAGACCCAGAACCAGTGTGCCAGCCCCGCCTCTGTCTGAGACGTGCAGCGGCCTCCGCAAGAGGGCGGTGAGCAGTAACCACTACACACGATGCTGGTTTCTGCAGTGAGTGTGCCGGCTCTCAGACCCACAGACCGCTGCTCCTGCGATGCAGCTCGTTAGGGCCTTTTACTGATTCTCTCGAGAACTACTTGTTGAGCTCAGTCTGGCCGGCATAGCTCAGTGGTTGAGCATCAACTTATGAGCCAGGAGGTCACGGTTCGATTCCCCGTCGGAGCAAATGCCCAGGTTGGGGGCTCCATCCCCCATGCGGGGCGTGCAGGAGGCAGATGATCCACAATTCTCATCATTGATGTTTCTATCTCTCTCCCTCTCCTTTCCTCTCTGAAATCAATAAAAATATCTTTTTAAAGAAAGGACTACTTGAGGACATAGCATGTGGCAGGCACCTTGTAAGTGCAGGGCTGAGGAGGGAGTCAGACGGACAGGTGGCCCCTGTGGCACTTACATCTGGTGGGAGGAGACAGGCGATGCACCAGTGGGTTAATAACCAAGGACAGTGTCCCTCAGTGAGAAGCCGGGTGGAGCGGGGCCGGCTGTGCTGGAGGCACGTTAGGTGGGGCCAGGGAAGGCCTGCTTGAGCAGGGGGTGGGAGCTGAGAGCAGCCGGGTGATGGGAGGGGAGAGGGTCCCAAACTGGGCACAGGCAGAGCTTCGTGCGCTTGAGTTTGGGTTTCATTCTCAGTTCAAGTGAGAAGCCAAGTGGGGTACTTAAGATGCTAAGATCACGCCTACCGGTTGCTCAGTGGTTAGAGCGCTAGCCTTCGCACTGAAGGGTCTCGGGTTCGATTCCCAGTGAGGGGCACGTACCAGCTCTGGCTGGGGGCACATGAATGAGGCAACCAATGTGTCTCTCTTACATCAATGTTTCTCTCTGTGTGTGTCTCTGTCTCTGTCTCTCTCTTCCCTTTAATCCAGTGGTTCTCAACCTTCCTAATGCTGGGACCCTTTAATACAGTTCCTCGTGTTGTGGTGACCCCCAGCCATAAAATTATTTTCGTTGCTACTTCATAACTGTAATTTTGCTACTGTTATGAATTATAATGTAAATATCTGATATGCAGGATGTATTTTCATTGTTACAAATTGAACATAATTAAAGCATAGTGATTAATCACAAAAACAATATGTAATTAGATATGTGTTTTCCGATGGTCTTAGGTGACCCCTGTGAAAGGGTCGTTCGACCCCCAAAGGGGTCTCGACCCACAGGTTGAGAACCGCTGCTCTAATCCCTCCCACCCTTCCACTCTCTAAAAATCTAAAAATGAATGGGAAAAATACCCTCGGGTGAGGATTGACAACAACAACAAAAGATGCTAAGATCCACTTTGTGACAAGATTACTTGCCGCTGGGTGGAGAGAGGATTGAAAGGGGCAAGGATAATACAGGGGAGGGGGGACCGGGAGGGGCCGTAGCCACCTCCGGGAGGCATGGTGGGGCTCTGGCCACGTGGAGGCAGGAGGTGGAAATGAACAGATTGGGAGAGAAGATGGTTTGATTAAAAAAGAAAAAAGCTCATCGCCACTTTCCAATCGGCAGGTAAGATAGTTGTGGCTAAGGTTGAGGCTTGTAGCTGAAATGGTTAAAATGCCTATGTTTATGTTGGTTGACCAGTGTAAGTTCCATGTACATGTGTTTTAAGTCTCGTGACATATGTTCTTGCAGACACATTGCTTTCTCCCTGTCGCACATTGTACAAGACAGTTTTATTCCGGGGTCTCCTGCAGTTTTGACCGGCTCATGCATCTCTGACATCAATGTCTGACCCTACAGTGTGATTTTGAGGGGGTACAGTAACCTTTCCCAGAGTATGGCACTCTCACGTCTGCGTTTTTAAGATTCGGCATTATTTTAATCAGTGCATTTTGTTGTCACTGTTTGTTCTAAGCCACAACATGAATTTATAAAACATTAGGACACTTACTTTTTTTTTTAATCCTCATCTGAGGATATGTTGAGAGAGAGAGAGAGAGATGTGAGAGAGAAGCATTGATCGGTTGCCTCCCATACGGGCCCTGACCAGGGATCAAACTCAGAACCTAGGAGTGTACCCTGCAACCTTTTGGGGCAGCGGATGTGATCCTCAACCACTGAGCCACCAGCCAGGGCAGGACACGGGCATTTTTCAAACTCTGTGCTGTAGGTACTGTATATGCTTGTGGTCTGTACACTAGACCTACCTACTCTGTTACTTTTAAGAGAGAGAGCTTTAAAGGGCTTTTATACTAGTAACTGTATCCATCACTTGAAATTTGAGTATTCCTATAACATCTGTTACCTTCTTTACCCATTCCGTTCTAGACTGGGAGCATTTCAGAATAAGATACGTTCACCAAACAATGCGTTTTTGCTCAAAATAAAATAATTAAGGGAACATCCGATAATGAACTCAGAAATGAGGCAGCCTCTTCCTCCCCCTCTATCTACATCCTTCTTTTCCCTCAGTCAGTGGTGGCAATCATTCACATTGCCACACACGCCCATCTTTCCGCGCCTGCCTCTTGTCCCATCGCGTTAATGTGCCAGCCTTCTGCTGGGGGTTAGGTGGTTCTGATCTCTGCTATAACCGACCGTGCACAGCAACTCCCCGGGTCCCTCCTTTGTCATAGGTGTGCCACCTCTGGAACAAAGGATAAACACATTTTAAAATGTGTTAGATGTTGCCTGTTTGGTGATATTCATTTCTACCACCACTTGAGAGACTGGTGAGTGTCTGTGTCGCGACACTCCTCAAAGGAGTGCCTGGCCCAACCTCTTCTCTCCTGGCATTTGGTGCGATTAGCCTGTATGCTCTCCTAGCGTGGAGGCCAAGTTGCTCTCATTACAGGCAAACTCTTTAAGTATCTGCAGTGCAAGCAAGTGTTTCTCTTTAGAAGGTAAATTTTCGTTCTGGAGAAAGTCACATCTTACTCATAACCTAGATTTTAAGGTAGCTGTCACTCTAGGTTTGGGTGGGGGGTGGATTTTGTTTTACTTGTTTGTTTGGAGAGAGAGGCTTAGTGAGAAACAAGTCTAACTTTTAGATAAAATAATGCTCTTCTGCGGCTTACGAATTTTCTTAGAAGTTAGCCTGGAAAGAAGAGTTTTAAAATGTCTAAAGTAATGGCACTGCCGCCTGGTGTGAGATTACAGCTGTGCAAGGGGGAGTGTTTGAATCAACCAAGCCTTGCTTGCATGTGTGTGATGTGGTATTTAGTAGGTTTCCTTCACAGGAGGGCACATTAACAACGAGTGATTTAAAGTCTTTGGGCTGAATGCTTACACTTAGGTATTGCCTACTTTAAAATCTTCACCCTTCCCACCAGCGGATGATCTAGAGGAGGGAAAGGTGCTGCTATGAGCAGGCATCGTCCGGGGAATGTACCCAGAGGTCTACAGCCTTCCTGCAAACCAGATCAAGTTGTTGCTGTTTTCTGTTCCCTCTTCTAAATCGAATCTGTGTGCAGTGATATAGAAAAAGCAGGCCTGTGAGCGAGCCACGTTTAGCTAAACCTTTGCTTTTACCTTTCACATACTTAACTGCAGAACAAGTGTGTTTTAAACGACAAATTAACTTCCACATATATGTTTCCTGAGACCGCCGTCCAATGCCGGCTTACACTTGAATATCCGCTGATTTTGAGAGAAGCAGACTTGATGTTGGTGTGTTCTAGGTCAGACATCTGGACTGTGTGCATGGACATCATATTTAAAATCATATTTAATTAAAATGTCCTTTGGACCAATGGTCCTCCGTAGTTTTTTCAAAATGCAGCTATCGTCAGTAAGGCAGCTTGTTAATATTCCCGATGACAGTGGATTATTACCTAGTGAGTTGACGGGGGGGACTTGCAGCTTCGGGCGCCCCGTCCCCGGCCAGGAGGTAACTGCGCCTGCTCTGTCCTGTAGAGAGATGGTCAACGCCTGGTTTGCTGAGCGAGTCCACACCATCCCCGTCGGCAAGGAAGGCGCCCGCGGCCGCGCGGAGTCCTGCCCGTGCCCCCCCCCGCACAGCCCCCGCGCCCAGGGCAGCGCCCCGGGCACCCCCACCAGCAAA